TTAAAGACTTCTGTCAATACATCAATAATACAACCCTAAGCAAAATATCTGGATGCCTTAAGAGTGATACAGATAGAACCCCACAGCGGATCACAGGAGAGTAGGGATTCCAAAGTGCTTGGCTGAGCACCGCCCTAGGAGAGCAGGCAATTTACTCTTTCTTCTCACTGTCAGTTCTGCTGGTTCTCTTTAACTTTGTGAATCTTTACATTGGTCTGATTTCTAATTTTTAGTCCCTTTACATTGGCCTGAAGGGAAGAGGTAAGATTCCCACCCTTACATATATACATATGCATATATATTATACAGAAAAAAAGTGAATCTCAGAAAGGTCAAGTATGAGTCATAAACTTTTGTCTAAGACACTGTAACTTTCTCAAGTTGGTTTGTGTCAAAGAATGATTAATAAATTTGTTCTTTTTTAGGTACTATTATACCCAACTGATTCTTTGCTTTATTTTCGGCTGAGGCTGATAACTCCCTTTCATTTATTTACTTATTTAATTTTTTTTGAGACAAGGTCTTAGTATATAAACTAGGCTGGCTTTGAACTTCTTCCATGCTTTTGCCTCCCACAGCTAGGATTACAGACACACGCTACCATGCCCAGGCACTGATATGTGGAAAGATGCTGGAGTCCATAGAGTATAATTTAAAAGGGAATCACAAACAATGGGTCAATAAGCTGTAATAAGATCTGTAAACTCCGTTGATATGACAGTTAAGCTTCACAAGACTCTGCCATGTACCTGCCATTGACTGGTATGTGTAAAGATAAACAAAAATAACAGATTGACTGCTTATAGACTTTCCACTTAGTACTATACATATAGTATATATAATTTATATATATAAAACTTAAATTTTAATTGCTCTTACTATCCGTATTTATAAACAAGGAAAGTAAGTTCTAGAGTGATTAAGAATTTTCTTCTCTCTATGAGCTCGAGGCCAGCCTGGTCTACAGAGTGAGTTCCAGGACAGCCAGGGCTATGAAGAGAAACCCTGTCTTAAAAACAAACAAACAAAAAATTTTTTCCCCTAAGGCTGCTTAACACCAGAATTTCAACTATGATTGTAAAAGGAGGCAAAATAGAAGAAACACAGTTACTTATGTATTTAAATACTTCTGTGTGCACATTTATGCACATATTTAAATTGACTTTCCTAAAATAAGGTTAGGAAATTGGACAATTAAGGCCCCGAGGAGGAACATGCTAAGCATGTGAGGTGGACCTGGGGTTGAAAACAAGCAAAGAGGTGTTGATGGAGGTAAACACGAGCAGCTTGCATTTATAATCTTTATTATAAAAATTAAATCAATTCTCTGAAAGCTATGATTTTTTTCTTAGTTGTATTTTATTTTTATTTATTTATCTATTTTTGTTTTTTTGAGACAGGGTTTCTCTGTGTAGCTTTGCGCCTTTCCTGGAACTCACTTGGTAGCCCAGGCTGGCCTCGAACTCACGGAGATCCGCCTGGCTCTGCCTCCCAAGTGCTGGGATTAAAGGTGTGGGACACCACCGGCTGGCCTTAGTTGTATTTTAAATTTTACAGAACCATTGGAATTTAAAATTCCTTGACACTTATTCTCAAATGAAATAATAATAATCTGAAAAATATTTCAAAAATGGTAAAAGAGTTCATCAAAGTTAGCTGTAAGTTTCTTTTCCTTCCTTAGTGATGAGGACTGTTCCATCCATCACACCAGAGGCTGGAATTCTATTGCGTCCAGGATCAAGTAAGTCTGGTGTATACAGTGTATCTGGCATAGAGAACCTACTCAACAAATGTCCTGGAGAAGAATACTGAATAGACTTAGAGAACAACATGATGCTAATACAAATGGACCACTAATGTTCAGTGTTATTTTTTTAAGTATAATTATCTCAATTCTAAAAGCTCTGTGGTCCCACCGGTTTTCCAGTTAGTAATGACTTGTGAAGAATGACTTCAGTCCCTCCTCCTTTATGCTGTCATACATCAATCCTGGCCAGTTAGAACCTTCCACTGTTACAGATTACTAAACTGCAATGCAAAACCATGCCGTCTAATATTCCAGGGAACTATAGAATAAATTAAAACTATAATATTAATTTTTATTTGTTTTATTTTTTCTGTGACCATGTGCTTTATAAAGAATAACCAATTTATTCACATTGATATATTTTAATGTATCAGTAAATATGCAAATTTACATATTTAAAATTTACAAATTTACACACATCTCATTTTACTGATAGTATTGTGTAATATGAACATTTGACCCCTGTAATGTATATAATTCATTTATGTTAAATGTATTCAAACAAAAATATCTTTATGACCATAAAAATAAAGTATGTCTTCCTGTGGTGGAAGTTGGAGGCAGAAGTGGGCAGTGGGCTAGCTTTTCATATTTTTCATTTTATATAATATGCTAAAAGTAAGTCATAACACTTCACCCAGTAATTACACATTATTAACTCTTGTTGATTTTTAACCCTTCAAGAAGAAGTGCCTTGAACTTCTTTGAAAAATTGTTCTTCACCTGTCTCTTGTCTTAGAAGTTTATCGTTTTGAAAAAAAGGACCTTCAAGCTGTTAAAAACCTATGACATGTTCTGGGCTTCATTTCCTTCATCACAGCCATGCTATGCCTACCTAGTTTGTCCCTGCCTCCTGTCTCTCATGGGCAAAGAAGAGATAGCAGTTAGCATGGCCTTCCGAGTGGTGTATGTGAATTGAAGAGGGGCACTTGTTTCTTCCTGTGAATTGAGTGAAGAGGGATATTTTATGATCTTGGGTATTCTCACTTTAAATACCGTGGTTTTATAGGATTTTTCCTATAAAATTTATTTTCTTTTAAAAATAAACAGTACACTACATCTCTACACACTACTTTGTTTTCTAAACTTCACAAACTTTTTTCTTTATCTGTTTCTCTTTTCCACTCTTACACAGACACACTCGTTCATTTACTCTATTTATGGCTGTGGGAAAAATACCTTAGGGTGGCATCAAGGAAATAAAATGGGTGGGACGAATGTGGTGGCCTGTGCCTTTAATCTCAGCACTCTGGAGACAGAGGCAGTGGGATCTGTGAGTTCAAAGCCAGCCTGATTTGCATAGTGAGTTCCAGGCCAGGCAAGGCTACCTAATCAGACTCTGTCTCAAAAAATAAAGTAACAAGGTTATCTTATTCAGTTTTCTTTTAAATTTTAGGCTATCAGCTACACTATAAAAATCATACTATTTAATCTTCAAAACTTTTTTGTATTTAAGATTCTTGAAAAATTTGGATCTTGGTTAGAAGGAACCCCAAGAAAACATCTGGGTCCTAGAATAGTGCCAATGTGTTGTGGATGCTGAATAACCATTTAATGAAGGCAATCTTGGAAAAGCTTATTTTAATCTTCAAATAAAAACTAAAATCAAATCTAAGAAATGAAGGAGACTAAAAAAACTCATTTACTTAAGATTGCTCAACTAGTTAAGAACTTGAGTGTGAATTTTATTCTTTCCAATTTCTAGGTTTGACTTTTTCTCAGTAACCTCTTGGCTTGTTCATATCAAACTGTTAAACATGATCTGCCAAAGATGCAGCATAGGAAAAATATCATCAAAAATTAGGTATCACCGGGCTGGAGAGATGGTTCAGTGGTTAAGAGCACTGACTGTGAGCACTCTTCCACTGACTACTCTTCCAGAGGACCCGGGTTCAATTCCCAGCACCCACAGAGCAGTTCACAACTGTCTGCAACTCCAGTTCCAGGGGATCCGACATCCCTGGCAAAAACACCATTGCACAGAAAAAAAAAATTAAAAAAAACAACAACAACTAAATATCACATTCACCATCTCTAGATATCACCAAACACACAGTAGTCACATGTACGGTGGGAAATATATAAAGCAAAGGGATATATATATATATATATATATATATATATATATATATATATATATATAAATCTTGGCTATATTGAACCAAAAGGCCCATTTCTAAGGCAAAGTGTCAATAGTCATTTTTCCATACTGTTTACCTTTCAGCACATCTTGTGTGCCCACACAGGTGATTGCTCCCCCCGCCCCCCCGACTTTTAAGTGCACATTCGGCTATTTTAGCAAAATGTTTATCTTGGTACCTGTGTGTTGTGTTGATTTTTTTTCCCCTCTGAATTTGCCTCGAATGAGGCATTAACAATCTCGATGCATTCTAGTCTTGATAAACTTATCTTGCACTATTCTGGCCTATGTGATGGCTAATCCATTGAGAAAAGAAATCCAAGCCGATAAAAGCGTTTCTCGGCCACTTGTTAGCAGGCCGGGATGTAAAATCATAGCACAATGCTCGCCTCTTTCATGGGGCACCACAAGGCAGCGATCAAACCCACCCCCCCTCACTTCCATATCCAGTGGAGTTGTAGTTTATTACCATAACCCTCCCAAGTCAAAAGGACACCAGTTTCAAGCCTGGCAAGTTGGTACAGAGAGGGCTTCCCCCGCCCTGACCCTCACTCCGCTGGGCCTCTCTACCTGTCCTCGCCCACTGTCTACAGGTCCCGAACATGAGAAAATAGAAAATGTGATGATCTTTGTGTGTCTCTGCGAAATGTGTGTATGTGTGCGTGTGTTTGGGTGTAACGCGCCTCCTGTTTGGCTGCGCCGTCCGTCCGTCAGGGCGCGGGCCAATGGCAGGCTGCCTTATATAAAATGAGTGTTTTCAGTCTCTCCGGGTTGCATGTACTGTATGTGGAGCAGCGTACAGTGTGGAGCGGAGGCAGCGCGGCTCCGCGAGCTCCTCTCTCCACTTTCCCATAGAGAGCCCCTGACTGGCCGCTGAGGGCGAGCCACACACACACACACCACACACCACACATACACCACACACACACACACACACGAACGCATACACACACACACTCACGCCCTCGCGCCGCGGCGAGCCCGCGAGGTAGGCGCCCGCCATCCGCAGCCTCCGCGGGCGCTCTCTCCCGCACTTTCTGTTTTCCTACTCACTTGCGAGCCGCCGGGGCTGCAGCCCGAGGAGGACTCGGCGGCGGCGGCGGCGGCAGGAGCGAGCGGCAGCGGCAGCGGGAGCAGCGGCAGCCGGTAGGGTGGACTTGAGGAAGGCGAGGGGAGCCCGCGCGTCCGGAGCCCGGAGGAGCCCGGAGCCGCCACCGGCCGGCGCCTCGCGGGCCACTTTTCTCCCCCGCCCTCCGCCAAAACTTTGGGTGGCGAGAGGTCGGGCCCGGGGGTCGCGGCGGCTTCCCCGCGCTGGCTGCCTGGCTGGCTGGGTGGTGGTGGTGGTGGTGGTGGTGGTGGTGGGGAGCCCGGGCC